GGGGGACACATTCACACAGCTGTCAAACTGGGACCAGGAGTTGTACCAGTGCAGCTGCTATGTTCCAATCAACATGAATGGGACTACCTACACTTGGATGCACTGAACACAAGTGCAAGCAGAGATGACTCTTTGCACAAGTGTACAGATAGGTACATCTGTGTGAATGAGGCCTAAAGAATTCCAGTTTTTAGCTGGCTGGAGTTATACTTTAAAAGGCAATTCAACTTCAACCACTTTATCACTGCTATTAAATGTATGGCATTAACAAACAGCCAAATGTGAAAGGACCCTCTTAGATTATTCCTTTCAAAAGAAAAGCATGAGTCAGTAATTAGGAAATTGAAATTTATTTGTTTTAAAAAAAAAAACTGCTTTGGTAACCATCCTGGACGTTCTGCTTTATGCCACCTTCTTGCTGGTCCGTATAAATGTGACTCCTCCAGCTACAGAGGTCTGCAAGATATAAAGGAAGAAAAGGTAAGCAGGAATCCTGAGTACATACAGTACATGCTTACTATGGGGCTTATTCATAAAGAGATTACTCATAACATGAATAAGTCCATTTTTTTTTATTAAACAAAACTGGAAATTTAACTGTATTTTGGAGTATTTTAATTTTAAAGGTGCAACATAAATTGCTGTGTTTTTAATTAAAAATAGCATACTATTTTTTAATAAAATTTTATTTGGAAACACAGTTTGGTGACAGTAAACTTAGATGTAGATATTTTTAAGTAAATCTTTCATAAACCTTACCGATGCAGAACTAAAATGTATCATATAATGAAAAAAAAACTTTATATTCAAAACATTTCTTTACTTTTTTGCACGTGTTAAAATATGCTTTGCAAGTGCAATTGCTCCAGAGCTTAGAAAATGAGTAGAAGCTCTGCTGACTATCATCCAATCACGTGCAAGCAAAATTGCTGTTTTTTTTTATTTTCCTTTCATGTGATTGGGTATTCTTTTGCAAAACGAAGCTTTACATCATTTACTAAGCTCTGGAGCAGGTGTCTTAAAACTTCCTAAACAAAGGGCCACTTTCCTGCCTTTCAGACTTTAGGCAAATGGAAAAAAAAAATTCCCCAGCATCGATGGGAGTCCACAATATCTCAGGCTTGGTGGTCAGTGTGATTTAAAAAATGTAGTTAGTAGGAGAAGGTATAATATCCCATCATTGGCATTAGTGGCTGAAACAGAGCACCATTATTGGTGTCACTGGGAGGACTGATGCCCCATCATTGGTATCAGTAGCAGGAATAGTGCCTCAAGGGCTGGACAAAGGCAAGCAAAGGGCTACATCTGGCCCTCAGTAGAAATAGTGCCCCACTGTTGGTGTCAGTGAAAGCAATGGTGCCTCTTCATTGGTTTCAGTAGCAGGAATAGTGCCTCAAGGGCCGGACAAAGGCAAGCAAAGGGCTACATCTGGCCCTCGGGCCACAGTTTAAAGACCACTGCTCTGGAGCAATTGAACTTGCAGAGTGCAACTGCACTTACAAAATGCACAGTCTATTTGCCTTTTGTAAATCAATCCAAATATAGTGGGGTTGATTTACTAAAGGCAAATAGACTGTGCACTTTGCAAAGTGCAGTTGCACTCTGCAGGAGTAGTTGTACCAGAGCTCAGTAAATGAGGTACTGTAAAGATTCACTTTGCAAAGAATACCCAATCATGTGCGAGGAAAATATGAAAACAACATTTTTGCTTCCACATGATTGGATTATGGAAGTCTGCAGAGCTTCTGCTCATTTACTAAGCTCTGGAGCAACTGCTGTTGCAGAGTGCAACTGTACTTTGCAAAGTGCACAGTGTATTTGCCTTGTAAATCAGCCCCATAGTTTCTGAAACTGAAAAGCTGTAGAATAAAGAGATTAAAAGATGAGACTGTTGAGTAAATAGATAGCAAATATGTGAAGCCTTAAAATTGTGCATGCCTGTGAAATAGCCAAAAATTTGATTCTCTAAATTGTCCATAGATGACATTTTAAAAAGCTTTAGCGCTCATCAATTCGGAGTTAAAGTGGCTCTAAAGTCAAAACACTTTTCACTCCAATACATTCCCTACATTACGGTAAGAAATGTCCCACTATTTGCAACCTTGCCCCCCCCCCCCCCCCAACATTTACCTAAGTCTTTTCTTGATCCAGAGCTGTGCCCATCTCCAGCAGCCGTGCTCTCCCTTCTTCTTACAGGACATACTGAGAGCAGCAAGAGTCATAGCCTTCTGCTTCTGTCAGTCAAATCCTGTGAAGATAGAGCTGGGCTTGTGGTCAAGCCATGCCTTGTCTGTCTATGGACACACACAGCCTGGCTTAGGAGCATGCCAGCACAGGTACACCCTCAGCACATGGCTTACTGAGGGGGCACTCGGAAATTAGAAGGAGCAGAGTGCCCCAGCAGAGCACCCTAGAAAGGGAGGTAAGGGTCCGCTAAGTGCAATGCCATTACACAGAGCAGGTAACTATACTCTCCCACTTTTATGGTAGGGAAAAAAATGTACCATTTCAACCACTTTACATTGTCCTTAGAATTATTCCACTTATTTCAACATGCACAGCAATACTAAATATGTGTTCACTTATCATGATTATGTAAAGACATGCATCAAAGTTGTGCATATACATGTGTATGTGTGTATGTGGGAGGGCAGAGGTTCTTTTTTTTGTTTTTATTTATTGTATTAGTTACATAGTCAGGTTGAAAAAAAAGTCAATCTAGTTCAACCAATAAAAAATAGATGCAGTTTGCTCCAGTGAAAAAGAGAAACTTCTTCCCGATCCCCCAGAAGGATATTCGGATATTCCCTGGATCGACCATCTCTGTTGTTATTACCTGTAAATGTGAAGTATATTCCACATTTGCACAGCTCTTACTGTAAAGAAGCCTTTCTATATGTGAGGTTAAATCTCTTTTCCTTCAGACATAAAAAGTGCCCCCTTGTTCGCTGCGATGACCTTAAAGTGAATAACATGTTGATCATATCCCCCCTTAATCTCTTCTCAAGAGAAAATAAATTCAGTTCAGCTAATTTTTCCTCATAGCTGAGCTCCTCCATGCCTCTTATCAGTTTAGTTGCCCTTCTCTTCACTTTCTCCAGTTTTCCGATATCCTGTTTGTGAACTGGTATCAAAAACTGAACGGCATATTCCAGATGAGGTGTTACTAATGATTTGTACCGGGGTAATATGATATCTCTCTCTCTCTGGAGTCTATACCTCTTTTAATACAAGAGAGGATTTTGCTCGCTTTAGAAACCGCAGCTTGGCACTGCATGCCATTATTAAGCTTGTGATCTACCAGAACCCCCAGATCCTTCACCACCATTGATTCCCCCAGTTGTACCCCCCTAGTATGTATGATGCATGCATATTCTTAGCCCCCGAGTGCATAACTCTACATTTATCAACATTAAACCTCATTTGCCACATAGTTGCCCAATTAAACAGTACATTGAGGTCGGCTTGTAAGTTGAAGACATCCTGTAAGGACATTATTCCACTGCACAGCTTGGTGTCATCTGCAAAGACTGAAATAGTACTTTTAATCCCAAACTTTCTATAATTTATAAATAGGTTAGAAAGTAAGAGTCCAAATATTGAATCTTGGGGTACACCTCTAATAACGTTAGACCACTACTCTCTGAATACGTTTTTTTATCCAGTTTTCCATCCACTTATAAAATTCATTTTTTTGGGTTTAGCTAACATCTTCATAAAAGGAAATACTTGTTTGACAACTTCGGTCTTTCATGAATTCATGCTATTACCTAAAATATTGTTTTTTAGCAAAAACTCTTCTATGTGGTCTTTAATTATACTAATTAAAGGTGACAGGGGTTAAAACCATCCATTCAAAATGAAAAAAAAATGTTCTGCCTTTAGTTCTAACTTTAAGGCCCCTTTCACACTTGCTGTCTGATCTAGTCCGCCTGTCAGTTTTTCAGGCGGACCTGATAGGACCATCCATAGACCTCTATGGACTGGCTGGTGTCAGCTGACAAGTGTCCGCTGACTCCCGCTGGCATCCGATCTGATTCTGTCCGCCAAAAACAGATGGATGGGGATCTGTTCCCCATCCACCTGGTTAATCAGATCAGTTGGCAGTCGGATGGAAACGGACAGGCGGTCTCTTTTCATCTGACCACCCCATAGAAGACAGTGGTCTCTGTTTGGGTCCGCTCTGCAGCAGTGTGGATCAGCAGAGAGATCCCCTTCTGAGCAGGCGGATCCACTGATGGGTCCACCCCATCTGAAAGGGGCCTTAATGATCCTGTAGCCAGGCTATGGATAGTTAAGTACTTAAACATTCTTAAACAGCAGTCACAAACTGACCTGTAGATGCAAGCACTGTGGAGCAATTCATCTTTAAAATCACAGCAGAAGCACTGAAGTTGTCTAAGTTTATCTTTCAACAGCTCAGCTCCCCATTCTCCCCCTCTTAGCAGTGATTCAGTAGCTTAGCTTCCCTACCTGCAGTGCATAGTTCAAACTGAAATACTCATAAATACTTTAAAGATTAATTGATTTACAGTGCCCTTAGGTACAGAGATTGTTAAGGGCTTGTCCTAAATCAAATTTATTCAAGGTTAAGAATACAAAAAATACTTGAATTCTTAAGCGAAATGACCATTAGATTCAGAGATCTACGTAACTAAATGTTGAATCTAACATCTCCTGCCTTCATTGTCTTGCAAATCCTAGCCACAGATGCCTTGACCACTTCATGTTCCCTCACCTCCCCATGTTGGTTGAAGCCGCCCATCACAAAAGACGAATGCAAAAACTGCAAACACTCCACAGGCTGTCCAAATCTGATGTGTTTTGTGAATCTGTATGTGGTTTGGAATAAATAACTCTATAATAATAAACTGTATCTGCGCTGTGAACCAGCCGTTCTGGATGTACAGTTGGCACAGGGGCACAAAGCAATGATTTATGTGACTGTTCCCATATCATAAAATAAGAAATAAAACTCTTTTTGGGGGATTTGAAGGAATTTAGAAATGTAGATATCTTCTGTTTTTTAAACAGACTTTACTGTGTTTCACTATAATGTCTTGTCTTACCTCCACCAATTTTCCTCCAACAATCTCTGAAGTGTGATGGTATTTAGGAAAATCGACAGTCAGTTTTCCACTCTCCATACGGACAGTTGCCTGAAATGGAATGCCAGGTTAAAGTGTATTTAAACTAAAAAAAAACAAAGCATGATTTATCAGAACTTACCTGTCCTTAGATGTGGTGGCTGCATTAGTATTTTTATTTTCCATAGTTTTTAACTGGTGATCTTACCAGTAACATACTTCTCATCCTAGGGTGACCACACTTACTCATTCTACTGTATCTATGGAGGGACAGTGTCCTTACCCGAGGACAGGAGTGTGTTAGGGCTTCAGATCTACCACTTCTTTCATCTTCATAATATATGGGAGGAGTGTTCTATAGTCCACAGAGGTGAACTAGGCAGGATCTAGAGTTCACTAGAGTTCTGGCAGGATCAGCAGGTTTTTTATTGTACTTATCAAAAAAGATACTTTCAATGGTATATATACATATATCAGCTCAAAAGGGAGCAAAAAAGAGGAGTTCATGGTTAGTGTTTACATATACTTTAAAGCTGAACTCCAGAATAAATAAATGTTGTCTAAATATAAGGGGTATGAACAGGGGCGGACTGACCATTTGGAAACTCGGGCGCTGCCCGAGGGCCCAGGGTCAGTAAGGGGCCCCATGAGATGTCCCTGGTACCTTTTTCATAGGCTTTTTTGAGTTTGGGCAAGGACACAGGGGCCCCATGATCCCCTATTGAGGGCCCAGGGTCAGAAGGGGGCCCAATGAGATGCCCCTGGTACCTTTTTCATAGGCTTTTTTGAGTTTGGGCAAGGACACAGGGGCCCCATGATCCCCTATTGCCCGGGGGCCCCATGAGTTGTCAGTCCGCCCCTGGGTATGAATAATCCTAATACAATATTTGTGTGTTATGTGTATTTCTTCCAGATCTGTGAAGTAATCTGGCATGAAACATTGCCTCTGTGCAGGAGCTTCTTCTAATACAGACCTGTTACTTACTGCTGCTGCTCTCTCTCCTTGTTCAGGGTGATTGGTCTTGTATCTGCCCCCTCCTATAGTTCTCTGCAGTCAGCCTACAGTGGGTGGGGCCTGCAGGGCCCCTCCCACTGCTATGCTCTCTGTACAGGGTATGTACAGCACAGAAATGATGCCACCACTAATGTTACACCACAGTAATGATTGAGTTTGCAAAGGCATTTGGTGTAAACAAAGTGAATTGAAATAATTTTTGGTTGTTGAAGAATGTGTTTGAATTGACTTTTTTGTGCCTTTAGCTCAGCTTTAAGTTCATCTGTTATCCATTTTGGGTGCTCAAACAATAATCAGCATTTTAAAGAATAATGGGATTTTGTACCTTAAACTTCTTGCCACCCTGGGTCTCCATGTCAGCTTCTTTGCCCACGGTGAATTTGTTGGTCAGGGTGAATCCTGGATAGATTTGTGACCAGGTGAAGTCATCACCATTCTGGACTACCTCCGTAGTGTACTTGAAGTTTTTTCCTTTCTCAATTTGTTCAGCAGGGATGCCTAGACAAAAAAAGTTAACATTTTATTACATTGTTCCAGACAACCATTAAAAGAATCTATAAAAAATTACAAAGCATGAATGGAGTATTAAGCAGTCGCTAATGCTTTTATGCGTGCTGATAATTGAGCATATTATTGTCCTCATCGTATGTGCTTACTGTGATGATTAGCAAATTTCATTATGTGATCATTTTTTTTTTACCAGGCTAATAAGAATTTTTCCAGAATATTCAGTGCTGAAATTTAGGGTATAGATTCATAAAGTATGCTAAAAAATAAATCATATATGGGTGTCTTCCACCAAATATGAAAGCAGGCAGTAAACTGCTAAAAGGTCTAAAGAGACTGGTTTGCTTGGCTGAACTGTGGCAGCTGTCATTGTTGACACTGTTAGGGCTCATGAAGAAATGGCTGTGTTAGACCGCTTTTTCCTGGAATTCAAACAGGGAAGTTCAGCTTTTCTGCCTCCCTCCCACCCCTTTAACTTTTGACACATTTTATTTTCTGTTCAGATTGCATAGGCTTAAGTTCTTTCCCCTCCCTCCCTGCTTGGAACCTCTTGGGACACCTCACAAGTCCAAGAAGGCTATGGACCATTCATAAAGCTCAGTGTGGCTTGTGCATGCGCAGCGGGAAGCCAGCTGTTAAGCCGCAAAGATGCTGGTGCTGGGGACCCGAAAACTGGTAAAGAACTGGAGGTGAGGACTGTGCTAGATCCCTGGATAGGTACTAAGTATCCTTTTCTTAAAATTCAGTAGCTACAGTATTCATAGCTGCTGACTTTTATTTATTTTTTTCAGACTGAAGAACTGCTGCAACCTCTGAGCTGTCATCTACACTACTCCCTTGAAGCCAATGGGAATTTGCCAACCTGCGTTTGATGTACCTTTCAAATGCTCATCATATGTAGAAAAACAACACCCATCTATATGAGCCCTTAGTTCATTAATTATCAGTCTCTTCCCAAGGGATCACCATTGAGGCTCAGTTCACACTATTCCCAGTGTTTTTAAAAAAGCGCCACACCCTAAATCTCCAAAGCAGCAAATTCCCACTTCAAAAAATCACAAATTAATTTTTTGTTCAAACAACTAAATATAAGGGATGCGCTAAATAAATAAATAATACAAAATAAATGTGAAAAATATAAAAAATTATAAAAAATGTTCATAAATCATTAAATATTCAAAAGTCTTCAAATAATGTCCACACTGTGTTGAATCCACCACCAGAGAAAATTGAATCACTCACCAGAGCTCAATGCTGAATAAATAATTGGACTAGCAACAAGCACTTTTTGCTCTGGGGCAATATATAGCAATCCAGTTCCTAGATGCAATGCTGTGCAAATAAACGACCTCTACTCAGATGAATAGCCACCATTCAAGGATATAGGTAATTTCCAGGAATAAAACTCATCTTTCTTTCATATACCTCTATACCATTGGGACCATGTTTAAAGGTAAGAGAAAAAGATCATGGTGCAGCAAGTTTCATAAATGTAACAAATTTTTAATGAATGAATAAAACTCACAAGTAAGGTGTCTACACCGACACCAGTGTTACAAGCATAGATTTAGGCAGCGGTATATGAACGTAACTCTGTTCACCATGGATCCCCTCCTTTCAAATCCAGATACTGTCTCAGACGTTGGCATCCAGTAGGCCACACCCTACGCGTTTCATCACCAACGATGTCCTCACGGGACAGTTACTCAGTTCACACTATTGCAGGCCACAGTGGCCAGCATTTGAATGGGCTGCTGTGCCTGCTTTTCCACACAAAAAGGTGATGCACCTTTTTGAAAACGTGGCCGCAGGGAAACTGCATGGTCTTTTTGACCATGTGGTTTCCTTGCGATTCCTGCATCTGCAATCGCACTGCAGGCTGGAATACGCGGGGAGGCATTCAGAATGAGTGGCAACCAGACGCATCTCGCAAAAGCAGCGTGATTTGGCTGCGGGACAGAAACAGGTGCGATTCCTGCAACCAACTTGCAAGTGTGAACCTAGCCTTAGTGAGTCACTGACTTGGAACAAGAATGCAGCCAAAGAAATAGGAAGGCCTGACCTGCATGCCTACTCTGGGTCAAGGACTTCTTGAGGAATCAAGCCACAGGATGAGCATGACAGATAGGAACTTAGAAATTCCTAAAAAAAAAAAAGCTTCTATGTTTCCAATGTTTAATTTAAGTGGACATATTTAATGTATATGTCAAGAGTGTAGTTTGAATGAAATGTCAAATATTGCCATATTACCTCTAAAAATACTCTGAAGAAAACCAGTCGCTACTGGGCTTACCGAAAAATCTAAATGTTTAGGTTTATGGCTTGTCTGACAGTTGCTGCCTGGTCAACACCCTGATCTCAGTTTCTAAGTGTGCAGTTGATCAGGGCTGTCTTTATGGACATTGTTATGAATGTTGAACATGAGAGAAGTCATCAGTAGCAGCTTTTGTTGGGATTCTAACATTCTTAAACCCCTTAAAGTAGAACAAAAGCTACATTTTTTTTTTTAATTTTCAATTTTGGAGTGGGAGAGAGTTATAGCTTCTGTCAGTTTCCTTATTTCCATCTGTGCCAGATTGGGGAGATTTTCGTTCACTTCCGGTTCCATAGTCACACCAGGAAGTGACAAAATCCCTCCAGGGTAGTGGAAAACCCTAGTTGTCACCAGGGTCAACAGTACCAGATTTCCACTCTATTCCTGATATAGTGACAAATCAAAAAGTTGGGTTTTCTTTACATTTAACTATCAGTGATGGTGGTCACCTGGAAAAATAGAAAGGGTGAATTTCCCTCTCTCTTGGGGACACGGCCAGCACTAAAAACCTGACAGCTGTTCTATTCCCTCTACACTCTACTATCCAAAATAAAAACGTTATGCCTTTTAGTTATAGTTTAACTCCCAGACTGAAGAGCCAATTTCACACAATGTAAGTAAAGTTAAGTAAGGAAAGATACAAATCATTTATGAGTATGGCATCATGCACAAGGGCATCTGAGCCTGTACAAAGTCATTTCCAGTATATTTCCCTTGCTTTGGAAACTCAGGTACTGAGTCATAGACATGAATAGCTGTGTGCTGTTGTGCTTGAGAATAGGCTGATGCTTGCGTAAACACAAGCATAGTTTATAGGTGTATAGAAATAATAAAAAAATTTGATGCATGCCAGTGTATGCCCAAGTACAACCATTCACCGCCATTTAAGTCTATGGGCAGCTGTATGCATACACTGAAATTTACACTGCACAAGCTTCTATGTGCAAGAAGCCATTCATGTCTGTAGGTAGCTGTATGCAGCACCAGGACTTCCCGGACAGGGGAAATACACCGGAATTTAAGTTGAGCTCGCTCAGATGCCTGTGCAAAAGGGTATAACAATTTAAGATTCAGATCCATAAGCCCAGTGACAGGTTCTTTTAGATCTCAGGAAAATGCAACACTGTATTTGCACACAATTGGATCGTTTTTAAAGTGGCACTGTTGCTGTACGAAAAATAACTACAAGCAACCAGTAAGAGAAGACAAGTAATATTCAAGTCAGGCATTGACTCTAATCTTTGCTCCATTGTGGAGTTATGGCCACCCCTGGAATGTGACTTTTCAGTGTGTGTCACTGCTCACCATGGTTCTACCCAGTGGCTGCTACGTCACTATAGAGTTCAACAATGACATAGCAGCCAAGGTGGGGAACCACAACCTGCAGCAGGAAAAAAAGGAATCTAATTGATGCTGACGTTTTTCAAGCCATCATAGCTCTGCCATTGAGCAAAACTAAGAGTCACCACCCAAAGGACTGAAAAGTATTGCTAATTTTTTTTAACTTTCAATCATTTTCTATAGTAGTAGTTTTCAAGAATTACAGTAAATTGAAGGGTTTACAAAGGGTGGTAATATTTTACCAACAGCATCCATGGTGAAAGCACCGCAACAGAACAGTGCTGTACAGAAGATATCACCAGAAGGTGGTTCTGATAAATTTTACAAAATAATAATGTAGCAACTATAAGAACAAAGAACAAAGGGATTAGAGAAGAGGGGCCAAGGAAGTGGAAGGGTTAGGTGGGAGCTCCTTATAGATGGGACCAGGCTTATTTTCTGAAAAAATAGGTGCAGGAACTCCCCACTCTAACTCACCCTTTGTCTCTGTCCCCTACACACCTCTGAAAAACGTCCCTCGGTTTCACCAATACTCACCTTCAAGTACCAACCCTTTTAGACCCCCCCCACAACAATGGACCCCACAACAAAATACCACCCGAGCAACATTAGACCCCCTGCAGCAACAATCGATCTCCCATCAGCCAGCATTTATAGATGCTCCAGCAGCCAGCAACAGAATACTTCTTCCTCAACAGTAAATCCCTCTCAGCAACAATTGACCCCCTGCAACATAAGTCCCCCCCAACAATATCCCACCACCATCAACAATATACCCCTGTGCAAATCCCTTCCAGTGACATTAGATCCCCTAGCATCCAGCATCAATAGACCTTTCAGCACACCCCAGCACTATTACATACATTCAGTGCTGGAGGTGCCGGAACTGAGTTCCCCAGCATTCCCGCTGAAAAAAAGCTCTGGAGGGGGCTAAACTCCAGTTACTATACAATATCCTGTATGCATAAAATGGCAAAAAATAACTCGGCAAATAACAAGTGACCCATGGTTTCCAGTTTTTGGGGGTTTTTTTTTTACGTAAGTATGGTAGTTTAGCTGTGTAGTGGTTATGCTGTAATTTCTTTAATTGAGAAATGCCCAATGAAGTACAGCTTTAACTTCAGCTAATGTGAATGAGCTGGAGAGCCATACTTTAGCAATGGTTTGTTTTGTGGCCATCAAAGCAAATGGCATATTAATAATCTTTTTTGCGTAGGAACTTGTAATTTAATTTTACTTTCTAAGTGACAGGTTCACATTTAAATAGAAGCAGTGTATTTTGGCCTTAATGACGTAGAAAATTGTAATACGCACCAATAAGTGTCATGAAGGTGTCATAG